GTTGTAGCACACGTTCTTTCATCACAGACTGTTGTAGCACACGTTCTTTCATCACAGACTGTTGTAGCACACGTTCTTTCATCACAGAATGTTGTAGCACGTTCTTTTATCACAGACTGTTGTAGCACACGTTCTTTTATCATAGACTGTTGTAGCACACGTTCTTTTATCGTAGACTGTTGTAGCACACGTTCTTTTATCGTAGACTGTTGTAGCACACGTTCTTTTATCGTAGACTGTTGTAGCACACGTTCTTTCATCACAGAATGTTGTAGCACGTTCTTTTATCTCAGACTGTTGTAGCACACGTTCTTTTATCACAGACTGTTGTAGCACACGTTCTTTTACCATAGACTGTTGTAGCACATGTTCTTTTATCGTAGACTGTTGTAGCACACGTTCTTTTATCATACTGTTGTAGCACACGTTCTTTCATCATAGACTGTTGTAGCACACGTTCTTTCATCACAGACTGTTGTAGCACAAGTTCTTTCATCACAGACTGTTGTAGCACATGTTCTTTTTTCATAGACTGTTGTAGCACACGTTCTTTTATCGTAGACTGTTGTAGCACACGTTCTTTTATCAGACTGTTGTAGCACACGTTCTTTTATCACAGACTGTTGTAGCACACGTTCTTTTATCATAGACTGTTGTAGCACACGTTCTTTTATCATAGACTGTTGTAGCACATGTTCTTTTATCGTAGACTGTTGTAGCACACATTCCTTTGCTCTAACCACACCCAGTGACATGACTTGTATCAAACTGTTGTCAGGACAACATATTTTCTGTTTACACCCGATGATATGATGTAAACAAGTTGTTGCCAGGCCAACATATAGTCTGTTTACAATCTCTATTCATAATTTTTTGACATGCTTTTGGTTTGATTTGGGCAAACATATCTGTGTATTGGTTTATGCATTATGTAGTCCACACCACAAAGTTCATTGCGTGGTTTTATTTCTACACATTTAAATGACTAAAAATAATTTTAAATGGTTTCAAATAGTAAATGCTTCTGGATCCAATGAAACCATCTAGACCAAAGTAGAGCATGAAGAGAGCTATCTTTTGATGTATCACTGGTTCTTGTTTGTTCAAATCGACACCCTGTTTTTGATTTTAACATTCACTCGCTGGTCGCTGCCAAATAGGAGAAGGAAGGTTTAATGATCGTCTCGAATTTTTTCAATCTGACTTAAAACTAGTGGGAGTATGGTTGCCTTGAAAGAAATCATGCAAACTCAGTGTGTATTAGTAGTGTAGATGATTTCATTTGATGTTTGGTGTACGATAACTAGTATTTTGTTTCTTCCATGGCCAGGAACTATAATTCTTTGGGACTTCCTACTTTGAGTGAAAAGATATTGGTATTGAAGTATGTGTCATGTAGATGGAGAGCAGAAGTGCTTTATGAGTGTCCATTTTTCACAATCACACTTTTTGACCAAACTCAACCAAACTTGGCAGCAGCATATTGATCTGATCCTCACTCCCTCCCAGGTCACTTCTTGGTTGGTCACTGTCTGTTTTTCACACGTATAGTGTTTGACCAAACCTCTCATCTCCTTTCACAGACCCCTGGGGAGTAACAAAGGAGGACATCCATCTTTCCCATGTGTTTAATGGGTACATGAGTTAGTATAACAATTGTAATGTGGTAGTCAAAGCATGTATTTCGTAGAAACATTTGACGGGTAATTAAAATAACATTTCATATTAGGCTAGAGTTCCTAATTACCGGAGGCATATGTATACCCTTAAATTACATTGTCAGAAAAATTCTGAAACAAACCATAAAAGATTTATATTTCATATTCTGAACAGAAGGAAAAGTGATAATCACCTCCACACACACAAAATCATAAGTATGTAATAGCCACTGTAAATATAGATGAATGTGTTACGTCTAAGATAGGGTGACCATGAACCTGGAAATGACAGAAAATGTGTGAAAAAAAGGGAACACAAAGTTGGGGAAATTTTTCGATTATCGTTAAACCTGGTGAAGTCAGGGAAATTTGTGGGTTATTTAGTCTCAGATCTTACACGTATATGCAGTTCATGTTGCTTTTCTGTGCCAATGTTTGGTATATTTATCAGTCACTGTACTGTTTATCTAGTAGTAATTATCTAATTCATTATATTTAATTTTAAGTTTGATGAAATACATCATTTTGTTGTTTACCATAACTTTGTACTGTTATTGTTTGAACATTTTATGTGTTAATTAGGTATAATTATTAAGAAAAGTTTGTATATCAATATGGTGTAAGTGTGCAGGTCTGGGTAAAAGAAAAATTTTGGAATGTGGCCACTCTAAGAGAAACTATCAAATATCTGTAAATTTCTGCCAAGTGGTTTGCCAGTTTTGAGAAAAATCACTAACGTCTACAAACAACCATTAGGTCTTTCCAAAACTGTCCATTCACACTGACTTCTAAGGGAAAGAAAAGTAAAAACCCAAATTTTAACCTGCCCTTTATTTTTCAGGAATTAATAGATTCTCCTCTTAAACTCCATTACTATTAATGGCAACTCATTCAATAATGAATCATCTAATAACCCTGTTATAAAATGATAATATAGAAGTATTGACAGTATGACATAGACTAGTTATATAGAATGGTGGAAATATACCACAAGAATATAGTTAACATGTCCAGAGGCAAAAGATAGATCTGAAAATCTGTTTATTACACACTTCTGATTATGAGCTGTAATGAATAAATTAAGAAAGTTAAGTTTCATCTGATGTAGGTAAGAGAATCGCAGTAGCAGTTAAATAATTTGTTGTTGGCATTTCATACATTCTGTCAAATACTTCCTTATTTGAGTGGTATTATTAGCACGAGTTTAATTACAAAATGTTTGTCAGATCCCAATTGATGGCTTAGTCATTATTATAGCTTTTTTTTCAACTTTTCAGTAAAAATGTTTGTCAGTTCAGGATTCTGAAAAAACTATTGCTTAATAAGTATTTTCACAAGAAGACTGTAAGTTTTATGTTAAAAGAAATTTCTGTACTTTTCTGTATATACCTCATCCAATCACCTTTGTAGAATATTGTAACACATTTTATATAAGGAATGTAAATAGTGATCTAGAACTTTCTGACATGCAAAATAGCCATAAACTGATATAATGTTTTATTGATATCATATGTTATTTATTAGGCCTATAGCAAATTCTGGACACAACCAATGTAGGACAATCGATATGGTCTAAAGTAAAACATGAAACAAAAAATTTGTAAAATAATTGACAAGTAGCATATAGGATTTTTACAAACAATTTCAAATTATCACCCTTTTAATAAGACAACAACAAAATGAAAATTCCAATGTTAAACCAGAAGAAAGTATACTAATAACAAGTTTCCTCCAGTTACGATGTATTTCCACACAGGCTGACTGAGTCCAGGCCTAGGGCAGCAGATTTTAGGGGTCAACAAAATTTTGGCAGCATAGTTTTTTTTTTTAATGCTGAAGTGAGTAAAAATATGTAGCAAACACAACACTAATATGACTCAGCACTTTATTTGTGCTTGTGTCTTCACTGACATGTATTTTAATGTTGAGATGAACATCTGTAAAATATAGAGCAAGGGGATGATACTTCCATTGTATGTATATAAATATGAAATGAAAGCTAGAAAATTTTCCAGAAAAATATCTTTTGATAATTTTCAAAAAGAAAAAAATAACAGTTTTTGACTGCTCTCTTTATTGCTGCTAGCTTTTTGGTGCCATTGTCTAAGTTTCATTAAGTGTTATCTGCTTAGCCATATACTTATTGGACACTTAACATTTTACTTGAGTTATAAAGCACTTTTAGTTCCAGTTGTAAATTAGTTGTACTGTTTCTTCGGAGTTGACTGACTTGGTGAGCTGTACTATAATTTTGTCCTATGGGCATCTTCAACTATGATGACTCTGTATGGAGAGATACTGAAGATACCCTTTCACAGTGACTCTTGTTATGGGGCCAGCAAGTGATGACTCTGTATGGAGAGATACTGAAGATACCCTTTCGCAGTGACTCTCGTTACGGGGCCAGCAAGTGATGACGTTTGAAGTAACAGAAATGTGGTGTTATACTAATTAATTAACAATGATTAGAGACAGACTAAGGTACTGTTGAAACCTGTTGTTTAGGAAGATGGGCAGACTAAGGTACTTCCCAAACCTGTTGCTTAAGAAGATGAGCAGACTAAGGTACTTTTGAAACCAGTTGCTTAAGAAGACGAGCAGACTAAGGTACTTTTGAAAACCTGTTGCTTAAGAAGACGAGCAGACTAAGGTACTTTCAAACCAGTTGCTTAAGAAGATGAGCAGACTAAGGTACTTTCAAAACCTGTTGCTTAAGAAGACAGAGCAGACTAAGGTACTTTTGTAACCTGTTGCTTAAGAAGATGGGCAGACTAAGGTACTTTTGAAACCTGTTGCTTAAGAAGACGGGCAGACTAAGGTACTTTCAAAACCTGTTGTTTAAGAAAACTGGCAGACTGAGGTACTTTTGAAACATGTTGTTTAAGAAGACTGGCAGACTAAGGTACTTTTGAAACATGTTGCTTAAGAAGACAGGCAGACTAAGGTACTTTCATAACCTGTTGCTTAAGAAGATGGACAGACTAAGGTACTTTCAAAACCTGTTGCTTAAGAAAACGGGCAGATTAAGGTACTTTTGAAACCTGTTGTTTACAGTAACTATTATTGTGCTTACAAGTTGTTGTTTGTAAGTTACTACAGATATATCTAATGTCCACACCACATGATCTTCTTACGTCTTAGTAGAGTTGGTTGGCAAGATTAACCTTGATATTGAGTCCCATGTTACAGTTTCTAGAGGTCAGCTGTGAATAATAATTGCATCTTTGGAAGTATTGACAGACAGATCCTCTTTCAGTGAGAGAATTCTATCTATAAGTAATAGTAGAAGTATGGTATTGTATTGAATATTAACACCGAAGAATGTATATATCATTAAGAGATGTCTATATTATTTCATCATACTCTTTCCTTCATACTGATGAATTAGAAGAAATATAGTGTGTTTAAGAACAGTTTAGATATCAGATATAGTACATGTACTGTATGGCAGCTGTTGGTTATCGTGCAATAGAAAATGTTGCATGTAATGGAATAAAACCAGACAGGAGAAATAATGTTATTGATAGTTGTGAAATGAAAGGTCTACTTTATGGAAGAATCAGAAGAAATGGTTAAAAATAATTACCTCTTTCTTCTGTTGAAATGTTGATTTTTGCATCTTTACACAGAATTAAATTTTGTTTTAGTAAACATACAAAATTCTTGATATTTTTGTATATTTATTGTTTTGGGTTTACTATAAAAATTTCAAGCAATGTTTTATTCTTCAGCGGAAATTTTAGAACTTGCAGGGAACGCAGCAAGAGACAACAAGAAGGGTCGTGTAACACCTAGACATATCCTATTAGCTGTAGCCAATGATGAAGAACTGCACCAGGTAGGATTTGAATACGTTTTATGTACATTTGTAAACAATATTGATAATCCAAGATTTAGGCTGAGTCAAGAAGTCACTAGGTTGTGACCTGATGATGACAAGACCTTGTCGAAACATTGTACATTTGTAAACAATATTGATAATCCAAGATTTAGGCTGAGCCAAGAAGTCACTGGGTTGTGACCTGATGATGACAAAACCTTGTAAAACCGTTGTACATTTGTAAACAATATTGATAATCCAAGATTTAGGCTGAGCCAAGAAGTCACTGGGTTGTGATCTGATGATGACAAAACCTTGTAAAAACGTTGTACATTTGTAAACAATATTGATAATCCAAGATTTAGGCTGAGCCAAGAAGTCACTGGGTTGTGACCTGATGATGACAAGACCTTGTCGAAACGTTGTACATTTGTAAACAATATTGATAATCCAAGATTTAGGCTGAGCCAAGAAGTCACTGGGTTGTGATCTGATGATGACAAAACCTTG